TAAGTACTTTGTCAGGCTTAATATTTATCTGTAGATAGATACCCCCAAAGTTTTTTTCTTATTTAAAAGAAGACCTTAATCTGTTATTTAATGTTTAAATAAAGGTTAATTCGTTTTTTTGTTTTGCACCTCCTCCTATTAATATCTTTGTACATTCTGCACTAAACTGTTTTATTGTAGAGATCACTTATAGTATCTTCTTGATTTTTTATATTCTATATTTATACTTTCCTCCTATGAAAGTATGTACTCTTAATATTTTTTTAATCAAATAAAACACAATAATTCAATAACGTGCTTTAACCACTAGGAGGTGCACACAAGGTACACACAGCCATAATAACGTTGTATTATTAGTGTAGGACACTTATGTTTTCGTACAACATCTGAAGATGTGTAGTTTTATGCATGCTTTCACATAATTTTACAGCATATTGCAATACTATTTCCGACTCAGTAGTTAGATTCTTACATTTAAAGAAAATCAGTAATATCTTAAAAAACTACAGTCCTTTTATATCAGCTGTGCACCGTTATGGTGTAAATATAACCTATCTGTGAATTAGATCGAATGTAAAAGTCAGCCGAATTAGTGTTGATACTGCAAGGAGACGTATTGTGTGAAGAGAAATTGAAGATGTTGTTTAATTGTTGAATATATTTATGATCCACGTCAAGTATTCAGTTTCGGCGGCATTTTCTCAGTTTTTCCAAAGGTCTTCTCATCAGGGCTCTATAAATAAAGAACTACGGCAGATCTGTAATATACAATGCAGCCGAACCGTGTATTACAATGCCGTTATGTGATGACTTTCAAAGAGAAAAGCAAGAGCGCTCGGAATTAAGTATTATTTTATTCTTTTAAAATGCTTTCCAGATTTCATATCATATAAACACCAAATCCCAGCATGCATTGCGGCTAAAACATCCAATAAGCGAGATTAAAACCATAGCTGAGGAACTTGGGTAATCGCTCGAAATGCCTACGTCTGTTTCCGGTTATTTTTATTTTGAAATTCAGTTCCTGACGGACGCCAAAAAAGCCTGAGATTATGGAATTAAACCAATAAATAAAAGCAAGGATAATTGTGTGTTATTGGTGAGTAAATAACAGTGTGTTATTTTGAAAAGAATAACAAATTAGAAGGAAAAAATATTTAAAAAATACAGATTTCAGTATCCTGAGGCTCTGAGCCCCATTTATTTTCCTCACAGACAGCAACAAAAGTCCGAAATTATACGATTTCAAATAAAAGCAATAACTGTGGCTTGATATTGAGTAAGAACATGTTTTTATGAACCACAGCTTCCGGTCTTCCTCGACCCGACCGGAGAAAAAGACGTGCTGCAGGCAGTAGAAATACATTGCTTTTAAAATCGTGCTGTGCAACACGAAAAAAAGGGGCAAATCGTGTTGGTGAACACGAATCAATAGATTAAAAAATCGTGTTGGTGAACACGAAATGCCGTGAGACTGGGTTGTGTAATGACCTCTTGACAGAAATGACTGACCTCTCTGCCTAATGAAGAAAAGCAAACAAGCACTTTAAAAAACAGGTAATCTGTATTTACAAATAAAATATGTTTTGTTAAGGCCTGTATTGGATTGACTTGTAGTTTACAGCCTTGTAGTTTACAGCCTTGTAGTTTACAGCCTTGCTAGCAGCTGCTAGCAGTGGTGCTTTGAGCTTAATGCTAACGTAAGCATTCTACATGCTTACAGTGACAATGTTAACATGCTGATCTTTAGCGGGTAGGCCATTCTTTCACACACAGTGACGTCACGAGCTACCCACAATGCAACGCGCGCCATATATATATATATAAATACGCCATTTTCCTGGAGGTGCTAATATCCTGGAGGTGCTAATATAAACAGCTAGCTAACGTTGCCAGGCAGAGCGCACTAAGTTTTTTTTCTGAATTAACGACCGAAGAAATCGCTGCATGTCTTCGGATTACATTTCTGGACTTGAGGGGTGTGCTCTAGGTCGTTACCAGCGTAAACTAGAGCTGTGTGGGTTGTCCGATTGCCCTTACAGCCTGCAGATGTATGGAAAAACGACTCGAAAGTGGCCTTCGGTCGATTTTGGCAGCATCTACGTCTATCTTCTGGAAACACCAGGTGAATACCCCACTTGTCACAATAATATTATCATGCCAATGCATATATGTGGTATTTTAGAGTTGACTATATTGATTAAGGCAATAGACTATGATATTCTGGTTGCACCTCGTGTGAAATGGCGGATACCAGAAGTACGGTGTCGCCCTCGGCCCAAAACCCGTATGTGTGTGTGAAAGAATAATGTTATCAGCATCTTGGGTGCTGGCATGCTAACAGTATGATGATTAGCATTAGCAAAATGCATCCAATAATTTCTATGGTATGTGTAAGAAATTAAAATCAATGTTGATATGACGTAATTTAAATTAAATACAGGGTTTTTAATTTAAAGCAGTTTTATTCTGAAAAACCGGAAGTTCACACTAACTATTAATTTAACACTTTTATTCTGAAAATTCTTCATTTCCGGTTAGCATTAGTATGTGGCTAACGTTTTGAAACCATGATTTGAAGGTGAAATGACATGTGATGTTGTACACTAAACACACTGGGATTAACACTCATTTATTTACGCTGAAATAATCAGGGAATGTTTAAATAACCACAGACATCAAAATGATGTAATTTAGCAACAGAAAAAGGCAGGAATTGTATTGGACCCGCCCCCGTCGACGCCGGCCAATAGGAGAAGACCACAGATGACAACAGGAAGAGCAAGCCAAGAATCTATCTCTTTTTCCTGACCTCGGCTGACCGAACACGTGGGGAGAGCGCCTCCAGCTTGCAATTTCATTGTACATCTCCGCATCTTTTGTGTAATTAAATGCTGTTAACTTTTATAAGCTTCCCTTGACTCTTTTCAGTCTGTCCTGCTCTCAGGGTTCAAGAATTACTAACATATGTCACTCAAAACCAAAAATGTCTGGAACAGGAAAAGATAAGGTTTAATAGTCATGACTATGGTTACTTCTACCATTGCCAACCCTATCTCCACATTGTTAGCATGACTAAAAACATGGTTTTGCCATTTAATAAAGTCTAAAATAACCAAGAAAAAAAGCCTGTCTCACCCGAGGCAATTATGCAAGTTGGAAAGTTAGGTACCTGCAGTCTGGATTTTAAGCTACCAAACTTCTTTTGGACTGATAGTTTTGACTCCTCATCAGACAGATGGCAAAGTTAAATCATTTCCTTTTTTCAGTCCAATATCTATTTGGGAAGCCTCAAGGAATAGCTTGGAGTTTTCAGGAATATTTAACTTATTCATCTCTGCATAGAGTGGTAGTGGTAGTCTATCGATTATATCATCTTAGTATAACTAATCGTTTCCCAAAAGGTCTAGCTATTTCTTTAAATATAGCCCATTTTAAGCCCACTCCCCATTTTTCCTTCATTTAATCCATCATCCTCCACCTGAGCCAAAAAGAGAAGGACGTGTACACAACTACCTTTCTAGAAGCTTGAAAGAGCTCATGTAATTCAGGGAGGAAGAAAATAACCTACCAGTTTCATCTATACACATGGCTTCCTCATTTTATTTTGAATCATCAAGGATTCTTTCATATCAAGACATTTGTTTATTAAACACTGCTGATAGTGGCGTCATAGTGGCCGTATCAAATGCTGACAAGAAATTCGGTGTAGTGATTTAAGGCATTCGCCTTTGTGTGACATAATGTATGAGCTCTATGATCTCGCTGTCATCCAGGCCTCCCCTCAGGGAAAGAGTGCTTCATGTGATGAAAGTGATCAGGCAGAGCAAGTGGAAGTGAAGCATGCTTGAACCATTTTCTGTTGTCTGCATCCTGTAGATGTAACCTTTAAAGCGCTATCTTCTCCAGGGATGTAATTCAACCAATGAAAATGAACGTAACATTCTGTGTGGTCTGTTTTATGCAAAGAGTCGTATTTATACTATGTCTTTAGTTTGCTCTAATTTGACATGATGTGTCATTAAGCATGCTCAATGTATTTGAGATTCCATCACATGTCTATCAGTAGGAAACCATTTGTTTTATTATGTATCAAGTGATCAACATTTGACACCAGTAATGACACCTATGTCCCTGATAGTGTAGCAGTGCATTAAAACACAGGCTGGATAGATAGGTTGGTGCGGAATCCTAATGCCTCCTGTGTGCTTTGAGCTTTCTTCTTTTTTTTTCTTACAGGATGCAATAGGTGTCTGAGCAGTGCAGCAAGGAGCCGGGCTAATAGTGGGATACTTATTATAGCCCTAGCAACAGAGAGAGGATTGGAGGATGCAGAGAGAGAGCCTGTCAGCGATTGGCTGGTGAGGAGGACCTTTCAAAGCACAGAATTTCATCTCATGAAAGGTTCAGTGCAGCAAGCTGCAGCAGGAGGCTGCAGTTTGAGGGTGGGCGATCCAGCAGCTTGCCATACAGCTTCAGTTGGAAACACAGATATGTATATTTACGCAGATTAAACTATCGTTCATGTGTAAAAATGCCACTTGCATGTTATTCAAAAATCCTAAGAAATGCAAATTCTGCTATTGTCCATTATGAGATGCGGGATTTAGTTTTATTGTAGCACCTGCTGTCCTTTTAAAGCAACGTTCTTTGATCCATGTCTAATTGAGTTAATGATCAGTAAGACAGACTTAAAAAAGAGCCTCATTTAAGTGTTGTTCTTGTGTGTGCTGGTGTCTCTGCATTGCAGCTAATACAGACTCCATCTCATAAATGCACCCACTCACACTCATCACATGCAATGGTGCAGGCTTAAGCTGAACACACACACACATCCAGATAAGGATGCACACACACCTGGTATGTGGGGTTACATGAGGTCATGTTGACCTTGGACAGTAAAACTCAACGGAAATCTGTTGAAGGAATCTCAGAGTGAAAATAAATGAATGTATGACTGCAAATGGCTATGTGACAGAGAGAAATGGAAATAAAGAATATTACCGATAAACAAATAACTTTAATGGGCAACAGATGGCAACCAAACATTCTTCAGAGCATACAGTTTGTATCCCTAAACCCCCCTCGCTAGTATTCAGCAGACCGGATACTCTAAAATCAAATTTGTGATTCAATTTGAATTATTTTCTTCTCATTCCTTTGTATGCTTTCATGTCACAGCAGAAAGAAAAGGAACCAACATTAAAAATAATAACAACTTTAAAATAAAACGCAAACCACAGGGGAAAGAAAACAAACTAATTCAAAAGGAACACAATGCATGTATTCTTGGCAATGGGTGATAGTTTCAAAAAATATTCTAACAAAGAAATGAGAAAGATTAATGTTAAACATATTAATGAATGAATTGACTCCATTACAATAATCATAGGCTGTGTGTTGCATCAGGTTTTCATGCTATCTGTGTGGGGAGCCTTGGAGAACATCAACTTTATACTATGTTAAAAATAAATCTAAGCAGCTGTGACATACAGTTTGAGCTCATGGAGGCTGACTCATGATAGTGACATAATTGGCATACATGAACGAGGTTGTGTGACGGACCTTAAGGCTTTTGGTTTCTCTCTTAAGACAACACACCTCAGATTAAAAATATAAATCTGATAAAACTGCTATCTATTCGCAAAAATAAAGTCCCAACAACTGCCATCTGTATGAATATATTAATGTAATAATCTATAGAAGTAGCAGCATTATGAAGATAAATCTGTTCAGCTCTTGAGCAGCTTCTTCATACATTAATTATAACATTTGCTAATCAACAACCAATTCTATCGAATTGCCTATGCTTTCCCTGTGACTGTTTTAGTGCATTTGTGTTTTAATATTCATATATCTATGTGCTGTACACAGAGCAGTACCGTCAGACACATGTATTAGTGAGAAAAATACTACATCTTGCAGACATGCTTGCAGGAACTTACTGGCATAAATATTTTTTTTTCTTTTCCTGAACTTGCTAATGAGGCATATTAAATAATGAAACAGGCACAAAAAGAAAGCACATACTGTACTCAGGGAACAAAATAAATAGTTAAAACATTCTCCTCTAAGAAACAGATGTTTTCTCATGGGTGACAATACAACAATACACTAGACCACCACGGATATGGTGCAGGTATAATTTAGTCATATTATTTTTTATTATCATAGCTATTATTTCGGTTCTTGTGCAACTGCTACATAATGACTCACATTCAAGATATTGTGTCACTCAGGAACAGCTAAAAGGTATAAAAACAAACTGACAAACAAAAACCTAAACTGGCTGAACTCAAATATGGTCCATGTTTGAGAATTCAAAACAGAAACATTGGGCCTGAATACTTCAACATCATAAAACTGGATAGCATGACAGAAAAAATTACTTAATTACTGTTCAAAGAACAAAATATATCATAATCATACTTCAATGTGACAAACACCAGTTGGTAAGATTAAGTGATCACTGGTGAGATTTGATCTTCCTATTTTTTTTCTTTCAGTAACAAATTAAATACACATATTGCATGTCACTATAGCAACGCCCATTACAGGTACATTTTTACGATCACCATTTTGGTATAGCAAATAAAAAAACCATAACAAAACGATATAAATTAAAAATCAACATCAGACAAAGCCTGTTTTTCTTAATCATATGAATACTTAACACCCACAGTATAAGTTAATAAAGTCAAGCTACTGTATATAAATACATCACCAGCATGCACAATATTGAATAATCGATATTATTGTCGTCATCATGTTACACTGAAGAAACAGTATAGTAGGCAAGTGCATTTAATAAAACAAACACAGAAGTAAACCACAAACTCTGAAGCTGCTTTTAATTGTATTTTTCCTTCATTTTTTTATATTGTTAAGTCTCTGCCTTTTGTAATCTTCACCTCCAAAATATATATATTATATATCAATAGCTTTTAGGGCCCTTTCTGAAATTAGACTTACTACTGGAACCATTGCAAACTAGTTTTGTGAGACATTCCCATTCAAGCATTTTCTCTCTCAAGTGACTCATCTCTATCACGCAAAAACCTAAGCAGCTTGTCTCGACAGAACAAGATCAGTTCTTATGCCAGTGTGAGGCTGCCATTTCAATCCAACAACAACCACTTCAGGCTGATTGACTGACATATCAGTGGTTTTGGCAAATGTCAAAGAGAAAACCAAGAAGAAGGAGGCCCCTTTCAACTGTATATATATTTCTATATATATTTAAACTAAGATTTAACCTACACTCTCACCTCTCTTTTGATTCTTTTCTTTTAACACATGGAAAAATAAAGAACTGCTGCTGCGGTAGTATCATCGGCAAAAGCGGCTGCCAAAGTCCACCGGCCCTTCATATATATTTTTTGTCGAAGTGTGGTTTCTCTTTAATTGTTGCCCTCACCGCCCTCGTCATCCTGCTGGTCACTTGTCCACAGTGTCAAGTTGTCTCGGAGCAGCTGCATGATGAGAGTGGAGTCTTTGTAGGAGTCCTCGTTGAGGGTGTCCAGCTCGGCGATGGCGTCATCGAAGGCGGTCTTGGCCAGGTGGCAGGCCTGCTCGGGGGCGTTCTGGATCTCGTAGTAAAACACTGAGTAGTTGAGAGCTAAGCCCAGGCGGATGGGGTGGGTGGGCTGCATGTGCTCCTTGCTGATCTCATGAGCCTCGTTGTAGGCCTTCTCCGACGACTCGACCACGGTGGCCCTCTTCTCTCCCGTGGCCACCTCGGCCAGGTACCGGTAGTAGTCGCCCTTCATCTTCAGGTAGAACACCTTGCTCTCATGCTGAGTCTCGTTGCAGTTCTTGATCAGGAAGTTGCCCAGAAGGTTGAGCACGTCTTGGCACACGGCCTCCAGCTCTTTCTCGATCTTCTCCCTGTAGGCCCTCACCATCTCAATCTTCTTCTCATTGCCGTCGGCCGAGGTCTTCTGCTCGATGCTGGAGATCACCCTCCAGGAGGAGCGACGCGCCCCGACCACATTCTTGTAGGCCACAGACAAGAGGTTCCTCTCCTCGTTGGACAGGGCCTCGTTCAGCTCTGTCACCTGGAAGAAGGAGCAAATAAAGCATTACACTAGCTGCAGGGCACAAGCCTTTATTAGCACCCCGCTGCATGAACATTGTACAAAAAGGACGTGAGAACATATAATCCATGAAAATCTATGGTTATTACTTGAGTTTACAGCATTTCTATTTTAAAAAGGGCTTTCTTTTCATCGTTACAGTTTCTTAAAAGTTGTGACCTCTTGCTTTTCTTTGTTTAAAGTCATTGTAAAACTAATTACTTTTGGTTTCAGATTGTAGATCGGGAAAGAATTGGGCAATTTTATTATGCCACATTGAGGGTTGCCTCTGTATTGTGGTTTGGGTTGAACATGCGGACCATGAACTGCAATGTCTCCTGATCAAGCCTGGACATTTGTTACATTTCCTTTCATTCATGTATGTTTGTCAGCATCAAAGGCATACAAATGGAGAGAAAGTATACTCTCTAAAAAACCCTTTTAGGTGAATGACTGGACTAACAGAGCAGTTCACAGCACAGAAGGTGAACAATATTATGATGTGCAACTTCCAGTCTCCATACTAATCCACTCATTCAGTGCAGCAGTAGCTCCAGTTGCCTCATGCACAGCTACTGCTTCTTAGGGAGAAACAATATTCAAGATAGTCGACGGCAGTGGGGGGTTGGGAAAGGAAAGGGGAGGAAGGAGTTTTGGAGATGGCCAAAATGTTCCCACGAGCACTCCGGGCAGCTGCACTGTAAGTGAAAACCATCACTGCACAGGCGGTTCACGTGTCCCAGTGACCTTATCTCTGACTCAAACTGACCTTTTTACCTGTCTCAAGCACAACACTGTGACATCACTCTGAGTTTGACTGTCAAATTTAGATTTTGAGAGATGGTTCTGATAGTTGGGTGGTTTTAAAGAGATGATGCTTTAAAGAGGCCACATGACTCAGGGTTATTTAATTGGAGAAGAAACCTTTGAATGGCCTAAATCAGATTAATAATTCAAATCCAGCATACGGAGAGAGACATTTGTAGCTTAGGTTGAACAAAAGACTACATTTTTTTCCCCCTGAAAAAGTCTTCCTTCATATAATTTTTTATTTTTTTTAAAGGAAACAATACTGAGAAAATAAATCTGAAAACTGCATAAAAGTCTGTTATGGTGAGAACAAAGCATGTATATGTCATATTGTATTTTCTGGCTGTTAACAAGGGATTCCCTTTGATTAGAGAAGGAGAGTACACACCCAAACGGGCCTAGTTTGGACCGCACTGACATGGCAGATTGTTTAAAGGGAAAGGAATCCCTTCCTGCACACACACTTATTCCCACCTCCTGAAACCAGAAACCCCCAATGATAAATGATCCGTAGGGGCTCGCTCCATCCCGCCCGAGAGACAGGAAAATGTTTCCTCCTTTAAATCCCCTATGATAATTTGAATCGGCATGCGAGCTCATAAGGGCTCCCGGCTAAACTCCCGGGATGCTAGGTTTGATTATGAGCTGGTGTGACACAGCAGTTTTTTTTTTTTAACCCACTGGGAAATCTGTTTCTTTCAGAAAAAAAGAAGAGCAGACCAAAGGTTCTGTCCTCAACACTGGCCAAAAAGAGCTGAGCAAGATCTTGTGAGGATCCTCTTTTCATCAAATATTACACCTGAGCAGTCATTTACCCCAAATTCCTTCAAACTGCTGCTCAAGAGTAGGCGGACACAGAGACAGAGAATGCACATTAATGGGAAATAAAGTGAGAGGAGAAAACAAAGCCCACAATCAAATCTGACGTGAGAGATTCTGCTGCCTCCTACGTTTGTGTAGAGGAAAGAGCAGTTCAAACGCTCTTTCTGCCTCTAAACCTTGGATGCTGGTAAGACAGATGAGCAGATTTTGATAATACATATTATTTGTAATGAATGTGTCAAAGAGAGGAGGAAAATTAGGAGGAGGAGGAGGAGGAGGAGGAGGAGGAGGAGGAGGAGGAGGAGGAGGAGGAGGAGGAGGCAGTAAAAAAAAATCTGAGCAACCTCACATGGCTCCCAGCAGCAGAAGCTTTTATAAATTAGGCATAATGGAGGAAGGGGAGGTGGGGTGGTAAAAGCAAGGGGGAAGCAGAAAATGCAATAGAGCACAGCCATTATATGATACGAGGCTCGAATAAACCGAGAGATCAAACTCAGGCCTGTGTGCATTTCATTGGAGCCCTACAGTATAGCCCTTCATTGAACGGCCCGACAGACAGGCACCGCCCAAGGAGCAGACGATTTGGACTAGACTCAGGAAAAAAAGGCTGATCTGTCAATCAATTAACAAGACAATAAAACAATTACATATTTATTTTTCCTCTGAATTGGAGCGCAGGTAATATCAAGGAAGCAGTGCAATCCCCCAGACAGTCAAGAATGCGGGATCACACAAATAAAGCAACACACTATTCACACAAATAATAATCATTATGTTTTAATTTTTGAATTAACTTACCGATTTCATTGCAGCTGCCATATCATCATATCTCTCAGCCTGTTCAGCCAGCCTGGCTTTCTGCACCAGCTGCTCGCGATCAACCATGTTTAAATGATGTTTGGTTGCTTAGTCGAGCTGCTCTACTTGAGTTTTGGGGATGAAATGATTGATATTTGAAATCGCAATGCAGTGAAATCCTACGCTAACCTAATGCTGCAGCTGTTCCCTGCTGTCTGTCTGTGCTCCGTGCAGACGGGACACCCTCTCCTCTCTCTCTCCCTCCCTCACCCCTCCTCACTCTCTCCCTCGGCTGCGTCATCAGTCAGGAAGGTGGGTGTCTGTGCCAATGATGTAACACTCCATACAAGGGAAGTACAGGCGTATAGGGATGGATGGGAGCAGCTGGGGTAAAGGCCTTGTGGGGAATGAAGTCCTCTTGTGCCTGTGAAAACTGATTGACTAAGGTTTGGTCTGGGTATAATACAGGGTCTCACTGTGGGGGTCCGCTGATTGGGCAGCATGAGCTGTTGGGCCCATGTTGAGCTACATGAGCGTGCTGCATGTGAAAACTGGTAAAAACGCATTTGTCTGAATCCTCGACTGGACATCCATCCGACCTTATCCTGCCAGCTATACCAAGTCCATGTAATATCCAATTGTGATAAAAGAGCGGTCCATTGTCCAGAGCATTCATAGAGATGAGTTTGAGATGTCATGTTGATGACTTTATTATCGCAATAGAAAGCGGACGACAACAAACTTCTGAGGGTAAAGAAGGTTCTGTTACACAAAGACACCCCACAAAGATTTAACTAGAGAGACCAATAGGGGAAACTAAAGACCTGATAATACAGATATTGTTTGAGTGCATATGAGATAATGACTTAAACGCCTCTTTCTGCTTTTGTGTGTGTGTGTGTGTGTGTGTGTGTGTGTGTGTGTGTGTGTGTGTGTGTGTGTGTGTGTGTGTGTGTGTGTGTGTGTGTGTGTGTGTGTGTGTGTGTGTGTGTGTGTGTGTGTGTGTGTGTGTGTGATGAAGGGCAGTTCGGGGGCTATAATATTACTTGTTTAATACCTTCCAGGACCCATGACAAAGGGCAAGATTCATAAAATGGATTTCTACAACTGTATAGTCTATTATGTAGAAACAAGTTATACACCCTTTCAAGTCATTCTGTATGTTCCTTCAGTTGACTTTTCAGATCTGCTCTTATCATGAGAGTGGCAGCTGGACAGTAGAGGCTGATATTGTATGAAAATAGGACATTCTACATTTCAATAACCATCTAGTCCCAAGTGGAAATGAAACTCGTACACAAGGAGTTATTGACTACGTTTGTGTAGTCAATAACTCCTGTACCTGCTTGAAAGAAACGCCTGCTGGCTCTCACAGACTGAGTTCCTCACGGTCCTGGAGAGTGAGACTGATCTCGAACCAGCGGGTCAACACCTTGTGTTCTTGGACTGATCTTAAAATGACATTTGGTCTTAGGCAAACCGGCACAAATACAGCTTTATGAGTTGGGCTTTGGTGGGCTAATCCTCCTGGTGACAGGTGGAGGTCCTGAAAGCAAGCCTGGAAGAAATGTTCATGATTTGAGAAATTGTGTTATTAGCTTTTCTGTATATTATTTAATTATTTCTTAAATCTTGCCATATAGGCCACACTTGGCAAGGATTTTCCTCATAGCATGGTTGCTAATGTCTAAATTTGGGGTTTTTTCAGTGGCCAGCAAAGAGCTCTGCTAAACAAATTGTTATTGGAATGTGATTCTAACATAAAAACATTGCGGTCATCAAATTCAGTGGCCATTATTCAGAGTAGTCAAATTAGATTTAGTAGAGGAAAAAGTCCGTTTGGCTCCCAGTTTGATAAAAAAATACTTCTTATTTTATCCCCTTCCTTTCCCAGAAACATTTTAATGTAAAGATTTGAATCGAATGAAATGGCTAGGCTATTTTTTACAGACATAATGACACACCTCTTCACCCATTTTATTAGCCTATTTACAATTGTACATTTCACATATTCTGGCTAGATACCCCATGTTTTCTGACTTTTAAATGTATTTTTTTTTAAATCATGACATCATCATGTTTGCAGGACAGCTCACAGGGCGTCCCTGAGCTGTAATCTGAGACAGCACTTCCTGTCCTCCATGCCATATGAGCGATGCAAAGGGAAAACTCTGCTGAAGAGGCTGGATTTGTGCAGCTATTTTCCAAGCATGCATACTGAGAGCAGACAGTGCTTATCAAAGGCAGAGGCTTCATATAACTGCATCTTGAACGTCAGTCATTGCAGTGTGAAACAGTACTTTCAATTATTTCACCCTGGTTTATGCGAGGAGTCTTAAGCTAACTAGCAATATGTGTTAAAGGGATAAACATTAGCATTAGCATTAGCAAAGGGATAAACATTAGTTCACAGCCGTTCACAGCCCCATCTTCTGGTTAAACATTGAAGGGAAAGTGTGTGAGAGTGTGATATCATGTCTGTTGTATTTCATAACAGACATGATATAAAATAACAGTCTAGCACTAGGCCATTCCTGACACAAACCTGAGTGGCCAGCCTTTGTCTGGTGTTTGATTTGGAAGACTACTTTCTAAAATGTGTTCAAAGCCTGATTTTAAAAGTGGAACTGTAGAAGTATGACATATTTATTTTAGCTCATAATTGTAAAAGATGTGTTATTTGTATTGTTGGTGAGGCAGTACAACTTGGATTGATGGCTTAGGGACACTAGCAAGGAAACAAGCCATGTTCAAGCGGAACAGAAACGTCTTCTTTACGTTTGCCTTTAGCCTTGTTTCATGGGGCTTTCTGCTTTAGGAAAGGGGGTTGTGGGGGTGTGTAGCCATTTTGCACGTCTTTAAATGTGTTAATGTAGCGACATTTTAATTATTTTGGCAAAAGTATTTTAAAACATCACACATGACTATTCGTTTCGCCCTGGTAAAAAGTTAAAATATTAGGGCTGAGGGTGTGTGTAATTTTGTTAAAATATGAATGAATGAAACCGACATCCTTTTTAAGGGTGTCTAATCACAAAACTCTGGTGACAAAATAGAGCATGTTCTTGTTGTCAGTGTTCTCCCTCTATTTCCTTTACCATCCACTGGCCTGCAGGATAAGCTACTGAGCTGACCAGAGGTCAAGGGAGCAAGCGTGACTAGTGACGTGTAAACTGGGTCAAGTAGGAGGAGTTAGATACTGACTCTGTACACTTTATCATTTCATTTGGTATAAAGTAATATGGATAATATACTGACATGGCTACAACCGGAGCAATATTTATTGATTTATTGTATTGAGTGGTATTCTGTTTTGACCAGATGCAAAAGTCAGGTCTGTAAGATCAGTTTTTTTAAGCAAAAAACAGTCCAACATACCTGAGCCTAATAACATAATAGTTTATTTTGCAAACAATTACTTCCATTATGTATGTTGTACAGTCTTATAATGCAACAAGCAGCGCTAAGCTAAGGGATCTTTCCACTTCCAAAGAGGATTACTGTTCGTCCTGATTAGCTTAGTTACATTAAATTAGCATAAGTGAAGGAGAGGTCTTCTGTCCACAGCGGTCACCTGCCTGCCAAGTGGACAGTCGAGCGCTCTCGCTGCTGTCAATGGAGACCAGGCGAGAGTTGGATGTTTTGATATTCCCAGATAAAGTGAGGATTCTTACTCCGGAAGAAGTCACACAATGGGAGCTTGCGACTGCGAGCCAGGTGCCAATGCCCTCCGTCAGACTCTTTGTGGCACTTTACCCATACAACCCTGCTGCAATGTCCCCCAACTATGAGATGGCTGCAGAGGAGCTGCCTTTTGTGCCAGGCCAGTTAATCAAGGTAAGAAAGTGATCTCTTTACTTTTGCAACTGGATGTTGATCTTGAGAAGAAGAGCAGGTGAAAAGGTTTATAAATATTATTTGCTGCTCAGCAAGTGTGCTGGTATGTTTAGCTTGTATGTATTTCCTCACCTCATTAGTTGAAAGGCTGTGTGATGGTGTTTCCTGTTTGTGCTACATTCAGCTGAGGCTGCACAGAGATCTCAGCATTTTTCTAATATCCTGTCACCTTTTGATTTAATTTGCTGATTGATTAGAATTTTCACTCAATCCACTGACTGCTGCAACATGCAGATATCCCTTAAATCCCCCATATAACTAAAATAAAGTAATACATCTCTTGCATGTATTAGGTGTTTGGAGACATAGACTCTGATGGTTTCTATCGGGGTGAGTCCGGGGGTCTCTCCGGTTATGTGCCAAGCAACATGGTGGCTGAAGTCCCAGTGGATGATGAGTACCTGAAGCATCTACTCATGCAGCAGGGATTCCTCCCCATGAACCACTCAGGTATAAACCCTTTGTTCCTGCAGAACACTATCACAGAGGTAGTATAACAAAACATAGTTGTGTTTACACTGAGCTGTATGTGTGTACCTGGAGGAAGTTACAAAAAATACAAACATACTGCAACAGACAAGATATCATCGGTGTATATTATAACATTATGAATGAAACACCGCACTAATCATTTATTCTGCCCTTCAAAGAGTGTCAGCTTTTTAGCTGTTATTTTTTGGAGATTTGATGATCTCTAGAAACGTGCAATTTAAAAAAAAAAGTGCATTAAAGTTGAGTAATTTCATACGAGTTTTTTGTGTATTTTGCCTCTCAGGTATGTGTTTTAACCCGGATATGAGCGAAGTAGCCACTATCTCTGATGATGTGGTCGTTCGACGAATGGTGGCCCTGTTTGACTACGATCCGTGGGAAAGTTCCCCTAACATAGACAGTGAAGTAAGCGCTACAATGACACATGAGCTACGTTGTGTTTCTGCTAATTCTGGTCATCTGTTGTTTCAAGTAACAGCGTGGTTTGTGGTGATGTTTCAAAACTATTTTTGTCTCTCAAAGGATGAGCTTGGCTTTCGTTCTGGAGACATCATATACGTGTTAGGTGACATGGACCAAGATGGATTTTACTCTGTGAGTGTCAACTCTACAATTTAAATAAAATGATTTATCTGATTGATTAGTTATTGCACTGACTTGTGGACACAACTTCAACTTTAATCTCAATTTTAGGGGGACCTGCACGGCCGACGAGGTTTGGTTCCTTCAAACTACTTGCAGCCACTACCATGGAATTAATAGTAAAGGTCACACCAAGATCTTACAAATGCCAAGTGACAAACACATTCAGAATTTAGCAGTTTTGTTATAGTATACCAATGCAACTGCTTCTATGATTTGCTTTATTAGGTTAATATTTAAATGATTGATCAAGATGTTACATGAACAAGGGAAAAGTTCCTGTCTTAACAATTTTCAGATAATTGATTTATTGGCAAACAAAAATGACAAATCATTTGCTGAAAAAAGAACAGAAAAATACAAATGACATGCATTTGAAAAAATGAAACAAATCTTTATTCACATTATATTTTGATCTGCCTACATTCACTTTGCTTTAACTTTATGCACTTTCCCAAAATAAGCCAAAAGTATTATAAAAATAAATGTTTATATACATGTATATCTGTAAATGTAATTATAATTACATATCTGATGGCAATATACATTATATATTATATTAGCCTTAATAATACACATGTATTCTCAGTTGATTTGAAGACAAGAGTGTATTTATATAGTAGCCATGTTTGCCTTATTCCCTGTTTCTATCTTTTCTATTATTGGCTTTTAGTTTTTATCGAAAATATCTATGTTTGTATACAAATATATGTATGTTATCAATGTAAGAACTGTGAAGCAGAAACTGAAAATAAGCTGTCTTGATTTTGTACAATGCTCATATGCTTTATTTTAAAAATAAATTAAATAAAAAGATCTCAGCTACTTGTTTGTAGTTGTATCTTTTTTTTACTACATTGATTTTAGTCATTTCCTATTGTAACAGCTTGTAAACATGCACTATTATCCTACAAATTACTTGACAAAAGCAACAGACACATTTAGCAGGTGGTCATGGTGGCAAGTTTTACAAATCTTTCACGCAGAGTCCGTTGGTTTCTTCTTGTACATTCCTTTGCAGCCAACAGTATACTCATCCATAAAGTAGGAAACACTACACTGTGTAATGACGTTTAGTAGTGCTTTCTACTTTATGGGTGACAACACTGTACATCGGTAGCTTCTGGTCGATCCACTCAAGACATGATGGGTTGAGTAAAGGCAAGTTCTCAAACATTATATTCAACACAAGCACATTCTCTAACATCATTTTATAACTGGAAAACAAGAAAACAAATGGACTCAAAGAAACGTTTATATAGGAAAATAATGTTAGTATTAAGTCTCAAATATTATGATGCATTTATATTACAGAATGCATTATTACAGAGATACAACAAATAAAACCAAGTCAAGTTACACGCGGTCAGGGTCTTACCAGCATTTGGACTCCTCAGAAGAAAGAAAAACAGAAGTGAACTTGGTCTTTTTATTAACCCTGTCTGAGCCACGTGGTTACAACAGGAAACAGTGTCTCTCACACACACACACACACACACACACACACACACACACACACACACACACACACACACACACACACACACACACACACACACACACACACACACACACACACACAATAATGGTTGTGGGAAAATTATTTAAAAATGTATATAAGTATGTGAACATGTGCCTTCCCTTGAAATAAGTAATCATTTGTTTAAAAAATCTACAAATGTTTTAATGTTTATGAGAAATAATTATTTATATATTATGATTATGAGCCTGTAGCTGCTCGGGGTAGGTCCATAACTAATTATATAGTGAATATCAAAATACAATTACATAGTAATACATGTAGGATCTCCCTATAACCTTCTGAAAGTCAGATTTTCTAAAAGTAATAGCACCTTGGAAATTGAACAATTGTATTTAATAAAAATAGTTTATAAGTCTACTTAGTTACTTTCAACATCTGCACACACACACACACACACACACACACACACACACACACACATGCTCACACACATACACACACACACACACACACACACATACACGCACACACACATGCAAATTAAAAACCTACGCCTTTAAAGCTGCAGACTTCACCACTGATGCCGAGCGTTAACTCATCCCTTTTAAGGACATGCAGTTAAGAGTTGACACCTGCTTTTAAGAGAGAAGTCAGACACTAAAGCAGACACATGTATCCAAGTAATAATAAATGTGGATGTGTTTGAATAACCTCACGAAATTACACTTTTTAGTGGTGCAGCATTGAGGCATGTTCCCAGACCTAAATCGCAAATATCATTATACAAGTCCAAAGTAAATCAAGATTAATAGCACATTATTCACAAAGTGAGTTTATTTTAGAGATGTTAATTGCATATGTTTTCAGACCGATTATTGTGCCATTAAAGATTCAAAGATTTAAAAGCTTTATTGTCATATGCACTATAGCTCCAGTGTAGTTTTGGCAATGCAAATCCTAAATCTACGGCTCCTCCAACAATGCAACAATACAATAAACTTAAAATAAAAGACAGAAACATAAAACCTAAACAATTAAATGCACACTTGGAGAGGGGCTTGAGATGCGGCAGACCATTAGCACTGTTCTTCAATTAGTCTATATTTTACAGTCATGCAAGGCTAAAAGTCTCTTACTATAGATACAGGAAGAGATTCTTATCTCGATTTTATTTCTGAGAACTCATTCACGCCTGCGTGTTTCTGACAAGGTGTGGGAGGGGGTGGTGGTGGTGGTGGTGAGAGGTTCTTCCCCATCCCAGCAGCAAATGTGCAATACGCTTTGCAACAACAGAAACTTTGCAAATAGAATAGAGACGGGCCTGTGTCCTCTGTTGTCACGACAACCCAAACCTCAGAGTCACACCAAGAGAAATAAGAGGAAGTGGGGGATGGGCGGCACGCACAAACCGAGAAAGGAGGTGCTTGTGAGAAAAGTTAAAAAGAAAAGACAAGCAAGGCAGTAATGTATCAGACTTTTAAAAAAAAAAAGAGATTGCAAGTGCAGGAGTTGACAAAAAGTTTATTTTGCTGCACAAAATCAGATGCTAAATGTTTCACTGTAAAGCAACACATGTACAAAGATTACAATATGTGAAAACTAGTCCTCATATGTTGTCCAACAACAAACAGGCTGACCCTCTGCAGCAGCCGAGCATGACTGTGCACCCTGCAGATTATCTCAGCACTGCTGTGCCAGAGGCTGTGTTTGCATCCGATATCTATTCCTGTAAAACATGGGATTACATCCAAAGTCAGCTCCTTGAGTACTTGCGATGGTTTAAATAGTGATGGTGCCAAAAACAAGTGAATGATCTAATGACAGCTGCAGGTATTGTCCCCCCAAGACTCTGCTTAGGACTGATTGAATTATGTTGTATCTACGTTTACACTAATTGCTCCCAGACAGGGGTTGGTGGCTGCAGTTTAAGTTTTGTATGAGTATTGATTGATTGATTGATTGATTGAAAAGTGTATTAACAGCTTGTATATTGGGTACAGTACAGTACAGCTCAAAACATACAATTGTTAAGGGGATGCAGACCAGAGAAAGACTTTCGTCTTGTTTACATCAGGGTCCCCCATTTCCAATTCATCATGTCATTTAAGACATATAAGACATATTTGACATACAGATGGCTTATTTACAATTTACATACAGGTGGTTTTTTACATACAGATTGCTGATTTACAATTTTCATTTTAGATTTCGTTCTAATACATCCTAACCGGACATTTAAGACATACCAAGTCTACAGATATACAGTTAGTAACAGAGTCTAAAATGCGAGTATATACATAGATGGGGGGGGGGGGAAGCTGTCCATTGTACGACAGGTTGAGATTTGTACCATTACCGGGGCCAGTTTTGCAATGCTCTCCCCCGAAGGTGCTCTTTAAGAGAGGTTTTGAAGGTAAGTATAGTTTTACTTTCCTTTACAGTTGTGGGAAGAGCGTTCCACCTTGATGTATTGCCTACAACAAATCCAATTTAAACCATTCAAATGTAAACATTTTGAACAGTTATGATGAATCTATCAAACGTGTGATTCCAAACAGGTGATTTCTCCCAAAACATAAATGTAACTGCATTTGACTTCCCCTGAATAAGATTTATTTGCTGGCTCTGTAAGTCTACCTAAAAGTAAAAATGTATATTTGGAATATATTTGTTGAAGGGGGCATTCAGAATTCTTTCTGCATGTACTATTTATGTTATGGTTGTGCAATTACACCTTGCGTTTCTTTTAAAGAAATGATGTGTAGCTGCATTGGACTGATCACTTATTGGCATGGCCTTCCCTGTGTCTACTGCCTTTAGTTATTTTCTTTGTTGCTCCAGCAGGAAGTAAGGGCTTCTCACTCATGGGTGGGGTCACCAGAACTCTGCAGACCACCAGAAACCCTTAGACACTGAAATACACCCATATACAGTACAGTATTTTTAAAAGAGAAGAGATCTGATGCTAAACGTCCAAATAAAAAGCAGATATTGTTTAAGACACAAGAAGAACTTGTCATGTCCAAAAAATACAAGTTTAGCAAGAGTGTGAGAGGGCGCTAATCCTTCTTCAACACACACACAGCTGACAACAAACAACGTGCAGACCATACAAAATGCTCAAATACGCAAGAAGCCTACTGATAATAGGTGTAACCTTTAAATTAACATTTGAGTAAAAAAACAACTAAACATTTACATTTCTATTTCTCTAATGCAATATATTTAAAATATCTGCAATATATTTTGTGGCCAGACCATTGAGTGACTTAAAGGTAATATGAAGGGACTTAAAACACATCCTAAATGTAACTGGAAGCCTGTCTGAAAATCGAAATATTCCGATTAGATTCAAACATCTAACAATTCCTTACATCATGGCTCCAAACTGCATATCAGACTTGTTTGCTGCTGCCACATAGTGGATGATAGTGGAGGTGACTCTGACTGATACCAACTGCAATACAGTGATCTAATGGGGGGGGAGAACAGCATGTGATACGTCATCACGACATCTCTGTAACTAAGACAATGCATGCCCCCCAAATAATTACCATACTTTTCTAATAATGCTCTACGATGCAGGAGTCACACTTAAACTTTAATAATACTTGCACAATGTTTCACAAACAGCTGAGATGAAACAGTCTGTATCAGAGTCTGAACCGTTTTACCACACAACATCAATTAGATGACTGAGAAGACTCAGAACTGAAATAAATTACAGTTCAGAGTTCAAATGACTGAGGAACGACATGCAGGAAGGAAGCTTTCCAGTATCATAAGACATTTATTGAGATAACATATCACAAGAGGCACTATTATAACACCTTCAATTAGTCCCGTAGTCTGTACATTTGTTATGTACATAGCTACCGTGCAACCGTGCCAAATTAAGAGCTTACATATACAAATTATTTGATAAACAGTATACGACAACAAAAGTAAATACTGATGACACATGTTTTGAAGTAAGAGGTTGTCTTTACAGCGAAGAAATCGCACACAGTGCTTAAAGTTGTACATATTCAGTACATTGTATTCCATGTATTAGACAATCATCAGTGGACATTCATTCATTAAGGATACCAGCACTGACATGATCAATAACACAGTGCTAACCAGAGCAGCATGACCTCCAGAGTAATACACCTGCCGTCCATTCAAAGGCTGCAATGGTCTGAAGGTTTTGACCATCTGCTCTCCATTAGAAAACTGAAGGTGGGAGAATGCAGCAAGCTGTATCGAAAATCACAACAGACAGGTGA